TAATTTTACTTACCAATTTATCAATTACTACTCTTATTGTAAGTGTGAGGACCAGCGGTTATTTTTAGAAAATGAAGGAGATTTTATTTCTCAATTGCTTGGAATTCATAATATATTATTATCTCAACTACTTTGGTGGCTTAAATCAGTGGCAACAATAAATAGACATAAAACAAAATTATATGACCGTGATAGTATGGTATCGGCCGTTTCAGGTTTTTTGATGTTTGTCACCTACTGTATCTACGCAACTAAAATATTTGCTTCCATTGATTTGAAATTCAAAAACTTAAAAAATAAATTTGCCCCTAAAATGCCGGTTTGGCTTAGCGACATTCTAAAAACCAAGTTGGTTAACGTACGGCAAGTGAGTAAATATGCTTGTGAGTTGTAGGCTAATGTTGTAAAACGTTCAGATATTCAAAATGCGTATGAACAAAGACCTTAACATTCCCTCTCCCTGTTTCATCAATTCTCAAAATGGCATTCCTGAAATGTCAAACGACCGCAAACTGCGGTGTGTTTGTGACGAGATAAAACAAAAAAAAATGTTGGTGTAGGTATTATTTTTGGCTTAGACTTTTTGCATTTCGTATTGAAACGTATTTTCCAACGAATACTAGTAAGACTAAAACGGCTGATTTTCTCTAGGCGGCCACTGTGAGTAGGTAACACGGCAGGAAAACTATGGTTAGAGTACCTCTGCTCTACACACATATTGTTGTTATGTACCAACTAAATGTAAATATGTATATCACGTGTATAATTTGATAAATCTGCATTTTTATCGGGCCAATTTCTCTCTTCCCCACTGCATACATGTCATTTGGTGCAAATAAAATACCAATTATCTTAGTTGCGTGTTTACAAAATGAAATCGACACAAATTTCTGCATGCTTTTGGCGTTGCTGTAATACATTTTTCCAAGTTTTTATGGTGTTTAATTGTATATTTTATACAAAGCCGTCAGCATAAAAAAAAAATATGTTTCTTTTAGATTTTAAAAACAAGATAATTCGTTTATTTCAAAAATAAAAAAACAACTTTAAGCTACACAAAGATGCTTTAATTAAATATACTGACTTTAATTATAAAATATGTCGTAGGCTGTATAGATATTATGTATCATATATATAATATACAAATATGAACATTACACGTTTTGGTAAAAAAAAACCCTTAGAACTTTTTAAATATGTAGCAAAAATATTGTTTTATCTTTTTTTTCTAAAGTTTAAAATTGGTTATTGAACACACATATTGTTGTTAAATACCAACTAAATGTACTAACCTACGTGTGTGTGTCGATGGCTACGAGTTCTGTGAGAAAGGGATGGGGTAGGTATGAATTCGTGAATGCGCGCCTGTTGTTTTTCACTACCCGACGCGTACATACTTATGTACAACGACCCTCTTTCTGCCGCGACCCTCTTATAATTTACACTTGACCTTTTATGTGGAGAATGCGTGTACCATCGTCGTATACACGGTTTATATATATATATATATATATATATATGAGTACGTATAATGTACCAACAATTGTAGTAGTAATAGTAGTGGTATTAGTAGTAATAGTAGTAGTAGTAGTAATAGTAGTAGTAGTAGTAGTAGTAGTAGTAGTATTAGTAGTAGTTGTACCTGTAGCAGTAGTTGTAACGAAAGTTATAGTTACAGTATAGGTTATATGTATTTATATTTTAGCAGAGTAATAGGTACGAGAGAGTAGTAATGGCTTCAACGATGTTATTATTTAAATTATGAAACAACGTGTTCGTGCTCACCGTAGTATTCGATAATCTATATAGCTGAACATTTACGCTTTCCAAACAATGTACACACATAGTAGTCAGTCACCGCAAAATAAATAACATAGAAGCACGCGGTTTTATTCAATTTAAATAAACACATAGATATAGTTGTATATGTAAACGTATAAAATAGATAATATAATATTCGAACGTACCTATGTACCTACATGATTCGATTAGGACGCCAGCCATCATAAAGCGATAAATTATTTTAGTGCCATTTGCCATTCGAATTTTCCTCTTTTTCCCCTACGCGACAACTCAATGCAATTTACGACCATAAAATAGTATATATTTAATCGTGTATGTTTAACGGTAAACGACTAATACAGTAAAATAATAAATATTTTGACGCGTTTTCAGTTTTTTTGTACACCAAAGTATTTACACCTTATTGTCAAAGTCTGGCCCTGAGAACCGTGGTAGGTGGCGAAAAGGAATATTTCACGGACCACCTACCCCTCGATGTATCGTCGGGAGAATTATTATTATTATTCTCTCTGCCGCCTCGATGATGTTCGCCCATCTACTGCGCGGCTGGTTGGATGACAAATGGTTTTGTTTTTTCCGGATGTTGACGCCAAAACAACTGTTATACTACAGTAGTATACCGTGTTCATTATATATATACATAATTTTTTTTCATTCCCTACAAGATTTTTGGCGCCGTCTGTTTTCCCGAGAAAATTCCGATTTATTGCGTATTCTTTCTTTGTCCTCCCGCACCCTGGGCCTCACGCAGAAATCAAGAAATCACTTGCACTACACTTGTATCTACGAGTATATAATTTTATTAAACATAAATGCGTGTTAATTTTACATGAAATCGTTCATCACTATTACTAATATTAATATTACTACTACTACTACCAAAGCCATAGCTAGAAAACGATTAAGGGGGGAAGTTAGACTGCCTATAAATATGTTTTTACTGACAAATTTAAATACATTAAATTAAATTAAAAAAAAAAAAAAAAAAAAAATGGGGGTTTTAATCCTAACTTCCCCCCTGGATACGGCCCTAATTAATACTACTACTAATGTTATTATAACTACTATTTCTATAATAATAAGCATCGTGCTTCGATTCGGTATCGCAGCGATTGTCAGTTTTCGGACTTGGTTATGTGTTATTAAATAAGACACGAGTATTATTTCACGTTTTTCTATGGGTTATATAAAATAACCTTATAATTCACATATTATTTATTTAAATTAGTAATAGTTATTAAAATAACAATGTACGTGAGTTATAAAGTTCTTTTATATAACCCAAGGAAAAACGTGAAATAATATTTGTGTATTAATAAACAGACAATTTTGGTCGATATATGACAAAATGTGTAATTTTATAGTTTTTAAAGAAATTAATACATATTTCCTTATCGAAGTAATTGCGTGTACAGCAAAATATCTCATAAATTTATTTATTAATGGTGGTATATAAAATGAATGTTTCTGATTTTATCAGAACTCTTCAAAAAAGAAAAAAATGTGTATTAAATGGAGTACCACTTATATCAAGTATATCAATAAAATACACTAAATATTTTTGAAAATTCGTCATCAAATTATACCTTGACGATAGTATAACATCTGTGAACGTATTTATATTGACGGTATACTACTTACATATACAATGATGTTATTTATAAGAGTGTTGTGTGACAATACATAACATATAATATATAATATTGAAGCTACAGATTTTATTGTTGGTGGTGCCATTTTGGTCCCGAGACAATAGCAAAACCGAAACAATTCTTTTTTTAGTTGATCACAGTTATTACAAATGCATCGTTTATTGTAGATTGTATAATATGATCAGCGATAAATGATACATGACATAAAATAAATAAATATAAAGAGAATGCGAAATAAATTCCAAGACATAATCCGTCTAAGTACATGGAAAAACTACATTACAATTATATATACGCTTTAATAATAAGTGAATATATATACACATGATGAGGTGAATTTACGAGGACAGGTTACGGTGCTTAATCTGCTGTTCGGGGTGCGCCTGAGGAATTTGTAATTTCTGACTTTGTTCGTTTCCTCCTATCTAGGGTTATTTACAATTGAGCGTTAAACAAGTAACTTTTTATCTTTGTTACAACTATTGTAGTTTTGATTTTAAAAACGTACGTATTCGTATCGTATTATTTCATCATATTTCAATAATACCGTGTATTATTCTAGGGAAGTATGTTTATTTATTATTTCTATAATATTATCGGATTGAGATAGGAATACGGTTTTTATGAAATGCATTAACCGAAGATAGAATTTCATAGAAAAATGACCAGATGATCATAAAATGTATATACAAATAAAATAATGATCTCCTTGACAAATTACGTACACGTTTAATTATTTATTCTATGTTGTTTTAGAGTTAATTTTTTTATTTGTTATCAACGTTTAACCGTATGTACAATATATCGTAAAAAGTTAAAAACGAGATGAGTACCTACTTGTGTTGAATTATGTTCACATTCCTAAATGTTGACACACTACGAATGATGTGTTTTTTATTGCATTATACGGATACTAACAAAATGTGATATTCTTGTTCAATATTTGGTATCGTGTCACTTCTTCTTCTTCTTATGTGACTTCATAACTCTGTGAGAGTTTTGGCTGCCACCATCACTAATCTCCAATAATAACGATCCTGTATTCATTTCCTCCCGATCTATTACTTCCAGCTTCTCTAGATCTCGTTGCACTTCATCCATCCATTGTTTCTAGGGTCTGCCTTTGGGTTTTCTGCCTGTTGGCTTGTATTCAATTGCTACTCTAACTTTATTTGTTTCTTCTCGTCTTATTGTGTGTTCAAACCATCGGATTCTCTTTCCCTTTACATAACTCGTTTTGAGAGATACTTTGGTGATTTCCTTTATTTCTTTATTTTTTCTTCTACGCCACCTGTTTATTTTGATATCAAAAACTGGTCCACATATTGTTACTTTATTCTCAAAGCTTCTGAGTTTTCGTCTGAGTCACTTATATGAAATAAACTATGAAATCACTAAAAATTAATTACTTCACCGGTTAGGCAATCTTATAGCACGTACAAGCATAACCGTCACCCCCAATTCACTATATATCTCTATTCGTGGCAAAGTCCATGGGAAATATTCGTAGGCAATACTGATAATGCATTATATTTGTGTTCTCAGTGAGGATCAACTATACGGCTGCCGGTACGACATTGTACAACTATACCATCAGCATTAACAGCAAACTTTTGGCTCGAGGACAACCCGCGGCCGACAGTAATTTGCTGACGTTCAATTGGTCAGCTACTACAACTGATCAACAGTTGCATAAATATCTGACGTTCAGGTAAGTTTCTGTTAATAATTTAGACATAACATAACTGTTTACAATTGTTTTTTTTTTTTTTGAATCAATCAACTGTCTTAAAATTAGTTCTACAGAGTAGTACTGCGATGCTTCATCGAAATAGCACGATGCAATTTTATTTGTTACACGTGTAATTATTGACACGCAAGCGTTAATCAATATTTAAAAATTACACATTTTCTAAAGTTTTTCTACTACATATATATATAAAGCAATGTTGAGTCAAGTCAAGTACAATAACATTGATTGATTGAGTTTTAAATATTAAAGTGATTTAAGACTTTCGTTTATTGTGGTAAATTAATTCACCTTTATTTAACAGACCGCAGAAAGACGTAACATAAATATTATATGAGAAGTATTATTATTTATTAGTTGTAATAAAATCGTAACAATATAAGACAATGATTAAAAAGGGTTGTTGTATGCCGCGAACAATTTCTGGCGAACGTAGCTGATATGATTACGTGTATTTTGTTTTCGAATTTAAGAACATTTGTTTTGTGTAAACAAAATGTTAAACGACACGGCGGGTTTGCATTCTACAACATTTCTCTAATTCGTATTACAATCATAAGCCCCGGTGTTTAAATTTAACATTGTGTGCGTGTAATGAATATAGTGTGTGCACAGCGTGATGCGACCAGAGAATAAGATAATATTGATTGTTTGTGTTCCGGTTACGATAATTTCACTTATTTTATCACGCAAAACATCCTCCTATAAGCGCATTATAATGTAGTGATGACGCATAAAACAGTTATGTGACATCTTGTTTACAACATTTAAGTAGTTGATAAGAGAAAGTAGGTATTTGTGTCAATTCAATATCTTTATTGAGTACAAAATATCGATTTAATCAAATTAAACTTTAGTTAACTTTTTGAAAATAAAAGTACGTTTCTGTTCTCTCTATCTCTTTATTTATCTCTTACTCTATTCGTTTAAATGCTGGCCAAATATTATATTGTAAATTTTGTTTTGCTATTTTAAAACAATGGTAAATCATTCTAAAGCCTAACACGCGGTGCTCAGTTATAAAATCGTATTGCCAAAATGTTGTTAAAAAAGGTTATGTTTACATTTTTTACGGTTTTTTAAACGATTCAAAGATTAGAAATATGATCGATTGAGAATACAATATGTAATCTCCAATAAATAGATATAATTATACAGATGACATTTTCTCTCTTCTGTTTCAAATGTCTTTAAAAATAGTATACGCATTTGAAATAATCTCTGACATATTCATCAGCTCAAATATGATAATTTTCTTACAACTTAAGTCTACAATTCTGTTATTCTATCGATTAATAATAACCCCATCACTGCCCCAATTAGTCTACGGGGGTTATTCATTTGCACCAAAAAAAAAAAAGGATTCGTTTTGAGTACAGCCTATTTGCTCCAAATTTATCAGGTATAATTATAATTAGGTAATATATTTTTTTCTCAAATAATAATTAATATAATTTTATTTAAATCATAGTTAGTTATACGAATATTTTTAAAATGATAATCAATAATAACTGTATAATACACATTTTTTTACAGAGTAATACAAATTGAAATTAGTTGATAGTTAATGTAATAATTAATAGTACTTACATATTTTATATTAATTATAATAAACTAATATATTTTTTTTACAATCTTTTCTTTTTCTATTAATAATTTACTATACAATTTTTAAATCAAATTATAGTCAATAATACGATTTTTTTAAAAATAATTCAATAGATAATACACTTATTAAACAATAATAAATTATTACTATATAATAGATTATATGTAATAATAGTTAATCAAAAATATTAATCAAATTAATCATAATAATAAATAATAAATAAAAATATAATAATAAGAAAAAATAAATTTTCAAAGCTTTAAAATATATATACTTATAAAAATAACTTTACTATACGTTATAGATACGACGTATTTAAAATATAAGAATTAACCAAGTCATTAATTTAAAACGTTTACACAGGTAAATTTGGTGTAAATTAGCTGTGTGAAAAAACATAATCATTTTTATTTTGGCGCCAATGGGCTGTACCCAAAACGAATTCATTTTTTTTTTTGGCGCAAATGGGCGATGCCCTAGTCTACAAGAACACACTTCTATAATCGAAACTTGGTCAAAAACGAAAATCGGAAATTAACAAAAAAAAAATCCATAAAATAAATAAATATTTACTTTGAAAAAAAAACATTGCCCTATACTATAATTCATATCAAATTCATACCGTCGTTCAACCAAATAGAATACTTAGGTTTAACATTAGACAAGCATTTCACAATCTTATTTAAAAATAAAATGACAAACACCAAACATCAAGATATTACAAGTTTTATCCATTAGTGTAATTAAAATTAAATCTAAAAACAATATAATTAATTTATAAACGAATGATAAAACCCATCTAGTCTTATGGAATTAAAATTTGAAGACTAGTTAAGTCGTCAAACAACCGCTAAATACACACACACCAAAATGTTACTTTTAGCTTAATTACGGTTATACTATGGTACGTTGGCGATATTTCCCTTTACAAAGACATCAACATCACAAACATAAAATAACTTGCCTCTAAATACTATAAACGTTTTCATTATTAATTTGACTCCACAAAAACTCCTCACAAAAAATATGAAAAAATATGTGTCCTCTTAAATTCTATCTGAAAATCCATAAACATTTCTAAAATAAAGTTGATCTTGTGATCTGTTGAAATAAAATTTCTTAAATTTATCTTTTAAATTGCCGATAGATATCTTCCCTAATAAAGTTACTCGTATGAATTATATTTGTTTCATTACATTACTTTTTTATTAGGTTGTACAGATTGTAAATTTTTCTATAAAATAATAAAAAAATATATTATTTGCAAATTTAAAATATACCATTATACAACCATAAACATTTTTTTTTTTAAATTAAAAATTTATAAAACCGGTATGTTTGTGAAATTTCTTATCAGATGGTTTTCATAATACTCGTAAGTATACAAAAAAAGTGTATATACAAGTTAACGACATGTATTCGTATTTCATAAATATCCATATACAACCATTTTAAATAATTTTTGAACACATTAAACTGTTTCAGACTATCATTATCGTAAAAACTATTTATTGAGAGGGTAAGAGATAAAATAAGAATAAAGAACATTAAAATGTTTAACGTGATATTTAAAATATGTTGATAGGAATACTGTACTATTTATAGCATACATTATATACACTTTGTATTCTTAATATGTTTGAATATTATTCAGAAATCACGTATTGCACATTCAACTTCATACATTTTTTTTTTAAGTAACTTAAGTTTGTAATTAGTTTTTTTGTAACGATCAGAAATGTAAAATAAATATCTATAATCATCGAACGTGCACTTTTAAACAAAAAAATACAATAAATATAAGACGTATTTGATAATTTTCTGAAAAATGTTTAAAATTCATAAATATCCAAATTCACTATAATCTCAAATAAATAATAAATTAATATAAACTAACTATATATAGTATATTTGGTGTTAATAGACAATAACTATAGTCAATATTGTTATCGTTGTGTTTTTTTTAAGTTGAATATAGTGTATAAAAATATTAGAACGTAATTGGTTTTCACTGCTTTATAATAGTTTTTTGTCCAATAATTTTATTTACTGATTTATCAATTTTATTTTCATTGAACTCTTAGATGTAATAAAAATATTAATAATAATAAATAATAAGATATTAGTATTTTCATCATAATAGATGAAAAACTAGGTAGATGGGGAATGATAGAGGGAATTTTTAGTAATTGAATTGAAATTTTTTTCATACAAAAACATTTGAAATACTTAGATTTGAGACTTGAAGAATATATAAATGTATTAATTAAAAAATAAGAAGTAAAATATTAATAATTAATTATCTATCTCTTTTTAGTTAAATTATAAAAAATAAAAAATAAAATACCCATAATGATGTCTTATGTTCAAGAAAATAATAATGAGAAAAACTTCTGTTGCTATTCATTGCTTTAAGACTGACTTTTATTATACTCTATTTGATTTATTTATATAAATTATACATAAATAAATGTAATATTTGGTTATCAAAATATTCTTTATTATAATCGTATTTGTTGACTAAAAAGGGTTGAAAAACCACAAGCAAATAGTTTTTCTAATCTCAAAAATAACAATTCGTAAATGATTGATGTGCTTAAACATTTTTATGTGAGCGATCGTTTATGTAGCTATACCATATCTCCAGGTATAAAACTGCGAAACAATAAACTATTGATTGATTATTCTTTAAAATAAATATTTATATTACATATATATAAATATAATTTAAAAAATATTACAAAACTATTTTTAATAATATCGTATATAATATTTCAAATGTAAATTATAAATGATATGATAGTTGTTCAATACAAATATTATACTACTAAGTATACCTATAATTTATATTATTTATAATAAAAATCAATGAATAATACATCTCCACCGAAATGAAAGCTGATTTAAGTAAAATTATGATGACTATACTGATTACTGCAGCAAAGAGAATTTCAATTTGACAATGAGCAATATGATTCAATTTTCTGTAAACTAGTAGTGTATATCATTAAGATATCCGATTTGTAAACTAATGGAAATATTGTGTTTAAATTACTAAGTATTCGTAATCAACCATCACATGATTTTTGATATATTTTTTAACTCTATATTATCTTAAATAAATTGGTTTTGGAAAAGTCTTATAATTTTCGTTGTTTAATAGTAAAATCAAAAAATGCGTTAAAACAGTATGAACTGCAATTCGAAATGTTACCTTATGATCATGATATCGTAACAAATGTTAATTCATGAAAATCAATCACTTAAAATATTTAGATAAATACCTACTCGTATACATAATTCTCATTATTCGACGTCGATGAAATGAAAGAACTGATAACATCGAAAATTA